TGGCGTCTGCACGCGGAGCGGTGCTGGGGGGACATGGGTGGATGCACCCCACGGGTGGTGGAGATGGCGGGACACAGAACTCCTCTAAGGAGTTCGGGTTATGTCTGGTGGCACTAGGGAGCCATAGAAGGTCTTAGGGAGCGTGGTGGTGAATTTTGGTTAGAAGGCCCCTTGAGCAGCAGATGTAAGGGGACTAGCTAGGAGGTTTCTGCGAAGGTCTGGAAAAGAGCTGACAAAGAAGGGAGAGGCTTTTTAGTGCTGCTTGGATTTGGGTGGCTGACTGGAGGTGAGGAGTGAGGGGAGAGAGCCTTCCAGGATGCCCAAGTGGCTCCCGCCAGGGTGGATGTTTGTGTCTCTCCCAGGAAGGACCTGGGGGCGGCAGGACTTGTGAGTTGATGGGCCTGTGGCGGGGTCGGGGCGGGGGGTGCTGCAGGGCGTGTCAGGGAGCTCAGACCCGGGCTAGGGTCCTCCCAGGGGGAGGCCGGGCGTCCCAGTATGAGGAGAGCACCAAGGGTGGGGCAGCAGGAGTCCAGCCTTTTTGAGGCGGGGGCAGTGAGTAAGGAGGACCAGAAGCAGGAAGAGTGAAGCGGGGGAAGTGACGCCAGGAAAGGCTTGGGGGAGGGGGCGGGCAGTGAGGGGCCTTGTCCAGAGCGGCAGACCCCAAAGCTGTCCCTTACGCTGGCCACAGAGGTCACTGTGCCCCTGGCACCGGTGATTTCCGAGGAGTGATGGGGACAGAGAAGCTGAAGTGTGGCCTCCAGCTACCCACGCGGGTACAGCTCACACTCCCAGGAACAGGGAGGTAGGCTCGACCTCCACAGGGAGGGGCTGAAGGTAAAAAGAAGGGCATTTAACTGCCGGCTGGGAGGTCGGGGTTTATAACCTGTTGTTTGAAAATACAGACAGTAACAGGGATTCCCCTGCTCCGGAGCAGAGGATGGTCCAATCCCCATCCTCCCGGCCCGTCCGTCGCCAAGCGGCCACAGTGGGAGGCTCTCCCACAGGTGTGGTTCCCCTGGGCCCATAAGAGGTGGTTCCTTTTTACGGTAAAATATATTTTAGAAGCGCTAACTTGTGTTCCTTTTACTTTTAAATATGAGCCCTCAAGACAGCTCTCATTTTCCCACTGATGTGGGAAATCAGCATTGTTATAGTTCAGTGTTTTTACATCTACTAAGTTGCTAGTAGAAATTTACTAATGTTAACCATCTTTTATCTGTAGATAAAAAATCAAAAGATATACTGTTATTAGTGCCAAAGTTTCATAGACTTAAGACAGTCCTTTGAGTTTTACTGGACCAACGCTTAAAATAGAAAGATACTTTTGTTATACTAGTGACTAAAATTTGAGTTGTCAATAAAGAAAAAACTGCAAACATAGTACTGAGTTTTTCATCTAGAAAGATATGTGCGTTTTTTGTAAAGGAGAATAGAGTGCTTTATTTTTAGAGGTAAGAATTACTGATTTGAGACCATAAATGATCAATTTTTTAAGGTAAAACTTATAAATTATACTGTATTCCATAAAAATTGTATTGTGTGCAGTAAAAAATTACTGATAAGTGTCTTTATCTGTTTCCAATTTAGAGACTCTAGAAAGAATGGCATGATAGGACTTTCAGATTTTCTTCGTTCTAAAGAGGAAAATTTAGAAAACCTCGAAAAGAAAACTCAGAAGACATAGGCCATTAATACAGAGAAGAACACATTTTAATGTCAAAATAGTGCTTTTTAAAATCTTGGCATCAAATACAACTTGTCATTAACCACATGCATATGTAGTGTGGGTTTTTCTTTTAATGGAATGTGACCAGTGCATCATGGGGCCCTATTTAGTGATTATTCTTCACCGTGTTCTCCTAAGAACCTTAAATGCAAAACATTCACAGCAGTGAAATGATCTGAGTAAAACAATGTTTGGATGCTGCAGAGTAGGAAGGGGAATGGGCAGTTTAAAATCAGCTGTATCTCTTCTTCTTTCAAAACTCCTGAGCATCAGGAAGGCAGATGCCCTCTGCTCCCTGGCAGCCACACCTAAGGCTCCCTGGGAAAAGAGCCTTCCGCTGAAGCTGGGTCTTCTCTGTGACAGGAGGGCCTGAAGGACTCACTGGCTGGAAGAGCATCCATGGCTGGGAAGCAAGCTGGACCATCAACTTGGACCAGCACTTGGTCCACTGGACAGAGATAAGCATTGAGATCCTTTATTTGCTCTCTTGATATAAAGTCCTCAAAATGACAGTGTCAATGAATACATCTCAGATTATTTTTCTGAGAACTTGGGAATGGTTTGGCTTGTTGTCCCTCCGCACATTTGTTACCATGCTAGTAAATTTTATCGGTGTTCAAAGACTTGTGAAAACCCAAAGTTAGGAGATGCAGTTGTTATCTAAAGAAGTGTGTCATTTTTTGCACTGAAAGGTGTGAAGTATATTTTTCATCTGGACACTAAGCTACTGTATTTGAGATGATCGTTCTCCTGGACTTACAGTCACGCTTGCAGTGAACAGACGATATAGAGAGACTATTTGTAAAATTACAAGAAACTTTTCAGAGTTGGAGTTTTAAGAGCTTTTGCAAGTTTTGAGTTGCTTTAAACCTTCTCAAAGTTGGATTTCCCCAAAGAATTTAAATATTTTTCTCCTTCTAATCATAAAGCCCCCATGCACGTGGATAAGTGGAAAGACACCTTAGGTTTTGTATGAGTGCAGTGGTAAGTCATGTGGAGTGACCAGATGTGTGCAGGGGGAGCACTGCAGCAGGAAGGGGCATGCAAAGGAAGGGGTGTGCAAAGGAAGACACATGAACGGTGCTTGGACATCCCGTGCACCTGACACAGACCCGACAAAGGCGCAGAGGGTTTTGTGCTTTTTTAAGCCAGACAGTCAGCCACCTCAGCAGGCACACGTGAGGCAGAGAGCACAGGACATTGGCATGTGACAAAGAGAAGAGATGTTGGCCTGCTATCAGGGCACAGAAAAGGAGCAGCTTAATATGATGGATTCATAGCCGCTCCTCAGAGGGCACCGCAAACGGATGGAGGACTTGGGAGAGGCTCCCCACCCGAACTGGGGGTGGAGGGCAGCTCTGGAGAGTGACCTGCCTGCGGGGTTTGCAGGGACTGAGCTACCTGGAGTGTCACTGGACCCACTGGAGGTCGGCAGGGTACCTGGGTGAACAAACTGCTAGACTGCCGTCCAAGTTGGGCGTGGAACTGACAAGGAACGTTGAGGTATAAAGGCCACAAAGTGGCATCCTCAGGGAATATTGTTCCAATGAACCCTTCCTGAGGAAGCTGCTAGAGAGTTTCAGACAAAGAGATTGGGGAGGTCAACGTAAGGACCAGTGTATATGGAATGTATATTTCTCCATAGAACGGAGACTAAATGATGGTGATAAAGGATGTGCTATCGTGTATAATGGCTGTGCGTGCTGACAACACAGGGACATAACATCTGTCGAATATCGGAGACTGGGGGGTCTATATGAAAAGAATCAGCTGATTGTCTGATTGTCATATAATTATTAACCAGAAGTAAAGCAACATTCATATCAGATATCTGGGGGATGGAGAGGGAAGAAGAGTTTTCTAGCCAATTTCAATACTGATCATTGTAGAGAACAAACACACATAGCCTGAGAAGAAAAGACTAAGGATATTATCTAGAGATACGTAGGGTAATCATTACAGCAGAAATACAAGCCTTCCTAAATACCAATGCAAACAGACAGGTAGGTAGGTAAAAAGAGAGAACCTCTGAAAGCTGAACCAAAAAATAGAAATGTTTACATGTAGGAGGGAGGCTGGGAGGGAACAGATGGAGAAGGCTTGAAGCTGGTCTTCTCTGAAAGTCCCTTTTTGTTGATTTTGGAATCCTGTACGTATTTTACATAATTATAAAACAAAATTACATTTTAAAAAAATCCCTGAAAATTGAAAGTAAAATGAAACCAATGAACTTGGCTCTGTATCAAGTTGGTGGTGTAACCACATGAACTATTCCAAGTGACTTTACAAGTCACTTGAACATTCCTAGTGGAATATACAGTAACAAACAAAAGTTACAAAACAGTTAAAAATCCCAAATTGTTTTCAGTGGTCAGCGTTGGTAGTAATGGGATAAGTATTTTGGTGTCAGTAAGAACCCGGATTTTTGTCCAGGAATGGAGGAATGAAGAAAGAAAGATAAGGTTAAGTCAAAATCCTGTGGTCCTCAGAACTGGAGCATCTATATGAAATCATCATCCGTGTCCAGTGGAAAGGCCTAGAAGCAGCGGCGCATCCAGTCATCGGGGAGTACACCTAACAGCCAGGTGTGGTCCTTAAATCCCTCTATCCATGGAAAGGAGCTGGGGCTCCTTGAAGCAGAACTGATCCGGGTCTTGGGTAGGGAATGTTCGAGGTGAAGCCCAGAACAAAGTGTCGTACTAGCAACAAGCTGTAATGGACTTTCGGGTTCGTGTCAAAAGTCAGGTTGAATGAACTTCCACTTGCCGTGCTCTTGAGGGATCCACCCCTATGACTGTCCTCCAGCAATACAGAAGATTCCTTGCCGCTCTGGCTGGCCCCCCAGGGTTACACCGTTTTCTCCATTTCCCTCTAAAAATGTGCTCTCTGGAGTGGGCCATGAGTCTCTAAACAGACTCCAAGTCAGAGAGGAGAGGGCCCCTCCTGTGCAGTCACTCCGCAGGAGCCAGGCCTGCTGCTTCCCAGAGGACCCTGCCGCCTGGCCCAGCAGGAAGGCAGGTGCTCAGCCATCAGAAAGTCACCAAGTTGGCCTCTCAGAGCTGCTTAAACAAGGTGCTCTTCTAGGGGCCTGAGGACCAAGAGTGGGCCCCTCCCAAGCTTACAGGGGCAGGGCACATGACTACTTTGGGGCCTGTTTGCTAACAAGTGTCTGTCCATTGGGCAGAATTTGGGGTGAGACTTGCTTTCACTATAACTGTCTAGTGCGGGGTGGGGGGGCTACGGGGGAACATAGAGCCCGCACCTCCTCTTGTCGCTGGAGGCCACCCTGCTTCACCAAGAGAGCCTCATCAGATTGCTGACCAGCCAAACTGGCTTAGGTCAAGAAGATACATTTGGGTGGAATTTTATAAGACTGAGAATAGATCAATACTGCCGTAAATGAACTTGCTAATGGGGACATCTGAACTCAAAAAACATAAATCAGGGGATACTGTTTCATTTTACCAAAAAATCATGTGTTAACACAACACTGTAAAGCAATTATACTCCAATAAAGATGTTAAAAAAAAATGTGTTTCAGTAATGAAAGAGAATGAAATGGGTAAATGGATAAACTATGGTACATCCAGACAATGGAATATTATTCAGCTCTAAAAAGAAATGATCTATTAAGCCATGAAAAGACATGAAGGAATATTAAGTGCATATCACTAAGTGAAAGAAGCCTATCTGCAAAGGCTACATGCTGTATGTGGGACATTCTGGAAAAGGCAAACTATGGAGACACTAAAAACATCAGTGGCTGGGCTTCCCTGGTGGTGCAGCAGTTGAGAGTCCGCCTGCCGATGCAGGGGACACGGGTTCGTGTCCCGGTTCGGGAAGATCCCACATGCCGCCGAGCGGCTGGGCCCGTGAGCCTTGGCCACTGAGCCTGCGCGTCCGGAGCCTGTGCTCTGCAACGGGAGAGGCCACAACAGTGAGAGGTCCGCGTACCGCAAAA